GAGATGCAGTGATGACTTAGAAACATTTCTTACCTTTGAGAATCTCATGGTGTTATGTAAAATAGACAATGATAGTATCCTGTCTGAACACAGAGAAGGCATCCTTAACCTGTCTTAGGATATCAGGGAAGCTTCCTGAGGAAAATTACCCCTGCACTGATTATCTAGGGATGACTAGATATTATTTGGTGAAAAAAGAAAGTGCAGTTAAAATTGTATGAGATAAGGAGAAGTAGGCACTACCTGATTTTAACTTTGTGTGTGTGTGTTTTTGTTTCCTATCACGCTGGCTTCTGTATTGTAAGAGTTTAATTTCAAAGCATTTAGACCATACAACTTCTGTGTCACTGATTGCGTTGAATGCCTTTTGCAGGCAAATGCTTTGGCGAAGCTGGTTTTTCTTTGTTCTTTTTTTTTTTTTTTTTGACCAAAGTTTAAGTATGGCAGTACTGTAAAGGGGCCTAATACTGAAAATGAAATTTTGGTGTCAGGACTAGGAAATATTTCTCAATCTGTTACTTTTCTTGCACAATTGGAATCCTTTAGATTTGTCATAGTGAATAAAATAAAGATGACAGATTGATCCTTTTCTTTAATATTGGTAACAGTGGCTCCTCTCAATAAGATTTTTCGTCCTCTTCAACATTATTATTTGAGATAATAAGCATTTATTATGTATTCTATTACGTTTCAGCTTCTGTGTTAGGAATTGGGAATGCAAAGATATCTAAGACAAGACTCATATCCCTGAGTAACCCACAATCTAATGAAAGAGAGGGAGAGGGAAAAAGAAATATAAACAAAAAAGCAGGAGGAGGTCATATTTTAAGCTGACCCTTCCTTCATGGATTAGTGGAAGTATGGCAAGAGGATAAAGTCAGAAAGGGTATTTTATTTATACACATTTAAGTGCATGTAAATGTGCATATATATATAGTCATTTGTACATTTAAAAAATGCTAGTTCCTATTGTAAACCAAAAACTGACTGAGCAGATCTCGATCAATTAGTGGTTTATTTTGCCAAGGTTGAGGATGTGCCTGGGAAAAAGAAACACAAGTCACAGTAGGATCTGTGACCTGTGCTTTTTCCAAAGAGGGTTTTGGGAACTTCAGTATTTAAAAGGGGAAGAGCGAACAGAAGGGGAAGGAAAAAAAAAGGAAAGAGGGTAGGCAGTGAGGCAAGTGGTTACATTCTTGTGAGGCTCTGATTAGCCAGCCACCTTTCTCTTAAGCTTAGTTAGTTTGGGGTTCCAAGATTATATTTTTCTTTCACATTATACTGAGCGTTTGCTCTGTGACTGCTACCTCAAAACTAGGGTGCTTCAAATGTATTTACTCATTTATCGTAACAGCCCTGCAAAATTGGTGATGTCATTCTCAGTTTTTTCATTTTAAACTTAAGGAAGTTCTTAGCCAGTAAGTTAGAAAGACGGGATCTGAAACTGGCCATGAAATATCAAATTACACAATTTCCCTAAGCTTACAACTAAAAAATTGGGGATGATATCACCAGTTTTGCAGGAGTGTTATGACAAGTGAGTCATAGACTCTGAAAAGGCAGGATCAAGACACTAGGTCTTCTTATTGATTTTTGTTTTTCTTTTTAGAATGAGGGTCTCACTCTGTCAGTCAGGTTGGAGAGCAGTTGCGTGATCACAGCCTACTACATACAGCCTTGAACTCCTGGGTGATTCTCCCACCTCAGCCTCCTGAGTAGCTGGGACTATAGACATCACATCCGTGGCTAGTTGGCTAGCTTCCCTCCCCCCCGCAGAGATGGAGTCTCACTATGTTGCTCAGGTTCTTATTGTTGAATTTTAATAGCTCTTTGTATATTTTGGATATAAGTCCTCAACTGTGTATGTGATCTGCAAAGATTTTCTGCTAGTTGGTAGCTTGATATTTGACCTTCTTTACAGTGTCTTTCATAGAGCAGAATTTTGTTTGTTTGTTTATTTATTTATTTATTTTGAGGCAGGGTCTCACTCTGTCGCCCAGGCTGGAGTGCAGTGGCACAGTCTTGGCTCACTGCAGCCTCAACACCCCCAGACTCCTACCTCAGCCTCCTGAGTAGCTGGGGCAACAGGTGTGTGCCACCACACCCAGCTAATTTTTTGTAGAGATAGGATTTTGACATATTGCCCAGGCTGGTCTTGACCTTCTGAGATGAAGTCATCTGCCCACCTTGGCCTCCCAAAGTGCTGGGATTACTGCCATGCACCACTGTACCCAGCCACAGAGGAGAATTTTAAACTTTAATAAAGTCTAATTTATAAATATTTTATTTCATAAGATGCTTTTTTGTATCTAGAAACTCATCAAATTCAAGGTCACATGGATTTTCTTCTATGTTTTCTTCTAGAAGTTTTATAGTATTTTGTCGTAGTTTTAGGTCTATCATCTAATTCATGTTAATTTTTGTGAAAGGTGTAAGATCTGTGTCTAGATTTATGTTTTTGCCTCTGGATGTCCCAGTGTCCCAAGCAGTAGAGAACTACCACTTGTTGAATAGATCATCCTTTCCGCATTGAATTGCCTTTCCTGTTTTGTCAGTATCAGTTGACTCTATTTGTATGGTCCACTGTTCACTTTTATAACGTCAATTATATTTTTCTTTGTGCCTTAAAAAATGCTTAATTAGACATAGTCACATACCTTACAAATCGCCCATTTAGAGTGCACTGTTTAACACAGTTTTTTAGTAACCATCTCCGCAGTGAATTATATTAAAAAGTCAACTTTTTAATCTTACCAGAATTCTTTAATTTTTCAATTCCCCTCACTGCAGTTAATATCTCTTGACTTAACACCACTTGCTTAAGGAGAACTTCAGCTTCTCCATCCTTCCCTGATTGTTTCTTTTCATAATTGCCTGTTTTTGAATATAAGTGTCTCTGTTATTTCTAAAGATATTGATTATATTTAATATGTTCTTCTTGGTTTTCATTAGCATTAGATATATTGTTGAGTAGTTCTTTCATGGTGGTGGTTTTCCTGGAATATTTAGTGATTTGGGATTGTCTGCTCAATTTGAGTGTTTGAGGATATTGGTTTGCTTCTTGGTGAATAGTCTGATTATGGGAGCTTCCCTCTGGTGACAGGAAGGAGTAGGAACCGCTGCCTACTGTATAGAGGTATGCCAGTAGGTTCTCTTTTGACTGCCAAGTTCCCCTGCCTGCTGGGGAGGTGGTTAAAATCCCTCCCTCCACCATGCTCTGAGCTTCAGCTTAGGCTGTGCTTGCCTACTTCTCAGAAAAAGACCAGTCAGAAGGGTATTGGGATTCACTTGTGCAAAGACCCTGGGTTAAGTTTCCCTATAATCTTCTGGAGATCCCCTCAGGGTCCTCTCCCGTAGTCTGGATTCTGAGTTTGGAGCACAGTAGAATCACTGTTACCTTCGTAGAGACCTCTACTGGTCATATCTAAGCTAAGTTTTCTGACTTCTCAGTCACTGTGTCTCATCAACTTTTTAATCTTGTAAGAATTCCCCAATTTCTGAACTGCGGATAGCAGATAGCATTCTTTCTTTTTTTCCAGCCGTGGTAAGGATTTCTTACTCTCCTAACAGTAACAATAGTAGGAATGCCACCTGCCACTAATAATAGTGATTTAAAAGGGATTATAGGCAGAAATGTAAGTAGATGTCTGTTCAGACTGCTGTCTGTCTTGAAACAAGGTTATCTTTTCAATACTCATAGCTTTTAGCCTTTAGCTTTTAGTCTTATTATTTCTAGAACACATTCTATTTTGACAGCTTCTAACATTTTTTTGCAGATGGATATCTGCCTTTCTGAAAGCGTGGATGTGTTTGGCAACATTTGCGGGAAATTGGTGTAGGGTAGAATTTTAATTTTCCTTACTGTCAGAGTATGTGCTGAGTATTCATATAAATTAGAGAAGGTATGAGGAGGGGAAATAGGTGGTTTGAAGATTAAGATGTATCTATTCCCAGCGCTTAGGGAGGTGAATGTGGGAGGATCACTTGAGCCCAGGAGTTGGAGACCAGCCAGGGCAACAAAGTGAGACTTCCTCCCTATAGAAAAATACAACAACAAGAAAATTAGCTGGACATGGTGACGTGAACCTGTGGTCCCAACTACTTGGGAGGCTGAGGTGGAAGGCTAAGGTAGAAAGATCGTTTGAGCTCAGGAAGTCGAGGCTACAGTGAGCTGTGTTTGTGCCACTGCACTCCAGCCTAGGTGACAGAGTGAGACCCTGTCTTCAAAAAAATACACAAATAAAATTACAAAGGGGTGGAGACAAGGGTAAGAAAAAAAGAACGTTTTAAAAATAAGAAAAAAAAGGCGGCTATTAATAACTCTGTTGATATAAATTAGCCTTGTGTTGTTCATGAATGACTTGAGTAAAATATGGTGAAAAAGGGAGAAAATTGTTAGAAATAATTTAGTAGAAGCTAAAGGTAAAGCATTGAGTAATGTTGGGTAGTGGGTAAAAGAATGGGCTTTAGGCCGGGCGCTGTGGCTCATGTCTATAATCCCAGCACTTTGGGAGGCTGAGGCGGGCAGATCTCCTGAGGTCAGGAGTTCAAGACCAGCCTGGCCAACATGGCGAAACCAAAAATACAAAAATTAGCTGGGCATGGTGGCGGGTGCCTGTAGTCCCAGCTACTCAGGAGACTGAGGCAGGAGAATCGCTTAAACCCAGGAGGCGGATGAGCCAAGATTGGGTTACAGCCCTCCAGCCTGGGCGACAGAGCAAGACTCTGTCTCAAAAAAAAAAAAAAAAAAAGGAATGGACTTTAGAGATTTAAATCCTGGATTTAAATTTTGGCTCCTTAATTTACCACTTTTATAATGTTGAGCAGGGTATGTAAGTACTTTAAAGCTTTAGATTTGTCATCCATAAAATAAAGAAAAATAATAGCATGTGTATCAGAGTTACGGGGATTAAATGAGATGTATTGCACGTATATATTATCAGTACAAAGCTTGCAGTAAATGTTAGTTAATATTAATCATCATTATTATCCTGATGTAGGAGTTCTCAGCCTGAAGTTGACTGGAACTATCAATTAACAAGTATTTATCGAATACCTGATCTGTAGTGTTGGACTTAGACCTATGGAAGGAGCTACTGATGTGAATGACAGGTTAGTACCTAGAGGTGGAGCAAAGAGAACTAATAGTAGTGAAGTTCTTACCATAAGTTTCAGTAGTAAGGTAGATATTATTATCTCCATTTTATAGATGAGGAAGCTGAGACTCAGTAACAGTAACTTCTTCGAGACCTTGGTTCTGCCATTTAGCTAGCTGTAGTTAGATTAATAACTCACTTAACCTTGAAGAGATGGAGCTGTTGACACAAATACATGATTTGTGACAAAAAATCATTTATTTTATAATCATTTGTATTACAAATAATTTGCTTTTAATTTTGAATAAATTTACATAGTCTTCAGTGTCAATATATAGGTATCTGGTACAGAAAACAAAATAGGGATAATACAACAAAAACAAAAACTGTTAGGAACTGAGCCTCACAGCAGGAGGTGAGCAGCCAGCAAGTGGAAAAATTGTCTTCTGTGAAACTGGTCCCTGGTGCCAAAAAGGTTGGGAGCCACTGTTTTAGAGTCTCAAAGAGAAAATAAATGATGTTGAAATTTGCAAAAGATAAATCGGAAGACTAAGAGATACGTATTCAGAGCTATCTCTAGGACTAAGTTGTTTACTAGACAAATCACCCTGTCCTGCTCTAAAAATTGATTTGCCTTCAAATACGAGTAAGAGTGGGAAAATAAATGTGAATATCATGGACATTTATTTGGAAAGCAGTGGAGTAATGCTATGAATTATTAATATTATACCTCTAATATGTAATACATCATTCACATTCTAGTTAGAAAGCATTCCATAGTGGTTGAGTATGGTGGCTCATGCCTGTATTCCCAGCACTTTGGGAGGCCAAGATGGGAGGATTGCTTGAGCCTAGCAGTTCGAGACCAGCTTGGACAACGAAGTGAGACCTCATCTCTAATAAAAATACAAAAAATTAGCTGGGTGTGGTGGCGTATACCTGTAGTCACAGCTACTCAGGAGGCTGAGGTGGAAGGATCACTTGAGCCATTTATCATGCCCCTGCATTCCTGCCTAGGCAATAGGGCAGGACCCTGTCTCAAACAAACAAATAAACAAACAAAACAAAACACAACATTCTCCATAGTTAGGTTGCTGTGTTGGAAGCTGTACAAGAGAAATTAGTAGTCTAATACCTGTCCTTTAAGACTCATATGTTGTAGCTGCTCCCATACATTGTTAGTGGGATTGTAAAAGGGTACAATTTATTTGGTGAAAAAACAGGCACTATATAAAATTTAAAAATGTAACTGCTCTTTAGAATAGCAGTTCTAGGAATTTATCCTTCATATATGCACACACACAAGGATGCCTACTGCAGTATTGTTTGTGGTAGCAGATGACTAGAGGAAACAACCTAAATGTTTTTAATAAAGGACTGATCAAACTATATTATGATATAATCTATATAAGGAAATGCTATTTCAGTCTTTAGAAAGAATAAAGTAGATCTACTTGTATCTTAAATATAACAGTTTTCTGGATATGTTAAGTGAAAAACATTATTAAGTACACTACATTATGGTGCTATTGTGTAAAAGCAAACAAAAACAGGCACAAAACTTCCTGATGCTTTCACCAGGTACTAGAAACTGTAATTTGTTCTGAGGTAGGTGGGGTGAGAGGGCAACATACTTTATGTTTTTGAAAATTTTTGTGAAGATTTGCATTCATATATCTTAAAATATGTGAGATATATGCATTTGGGCATACAGTGTTGCTACAAGAGCTTGTACTCACTGATGAGGACTTCTGTGTACATGCTTGGGTATTTGTGCTTTTGAATTTGAAAACTCTGTCAGTTGGTCTTTTTTTTGTTTTTTTTTTTTGGAGATGGAGTCTTGCCTTGTCGCCCAGCCTGGAGTGAAGTGGTGCGATTTCGGCTCACTGCAACCTCCGCCTCCTGGGATCAAGCGATTCTCCTGCCTCAGCCTCCTGAGTTGCTGGGATTACAGGCGTCTGCCACCATGCCCGGCTAATTTTTGTGTTTTTAGCAGAAATGGGGTTTCACCATGTTGGCCAGGCTGGTCTTGAACTCCCGACCTTAAGTGATTTGCCTGCCTCAGCCTCCCAGTGTGCTGGGATTACAGGCATGAGCTACCTTGCCTGGCCTGTCAGAGGTCTTTTGACCTGGGAATGAGGAGCATTATTGACCACCACCATTTCCCAGTTGGGTGGATTCGGGTAAGAGAAGATTCAGGTAGCAGCTGAAAAAACCTAACAAAGACTTTTAGAAGAGTATTTTTAAAAAGTGTTAAGTGGTTAGCATATTCTGCAGTAATAAAGCAGACGGGTTAGACAGAAGGAAAATTAGATGCAGGACTTGAAAGCATTTGAAAGTATAAATGTATGTGGAAATGAGGAACAGAGAAGAGAGTCAAGAGGCTGCAGGGAACTAAAAACATTTACAAACATCTAATCCCTAAATGATACACTTTTGTAAAAAGTCATTTTCCAGACTCTTGAAAAAACAAAATAAAAAAAAGTAGAAGCCCAGATGATAATTTGTGATTTCTTAAGTAACATAAGAAGAAAATTGCAGGCTGGGCATGATGGCTCATGCCTGTCATCCCAGCACTTTGGGAGACTAAGGCGGGCGGATCACTTGAGTTCAGGAGTTCGAGACTAGCCTGAATAACATGGTGAAACCCTGTCTCTACTGAAAATACAAAAATTATCTGGACATGGTGGTACATGTCTATAATCCCAGCTACTTGGGAGGCTGAGGCAGGAGAATCGCTTGAACTTGGGAGGCGGAAGTTTCAATGAGCCAAGATTACGCCATTGCACTCCAGCCTGTGGTTGACAGAGCAAGACTCTGACTTAAATAAGAAAACAAAAGAAAATTGCAAAATGGGGAGTAGAACCTTGTTTTCCTGATTTCCAATCTAACGCTAAGATTATTCCAAGATCGCTTGAACCTTGTGGTCAGCATAGGGCATAGCACCTCCCCCCGCCCCCCCAAAAAAAGAAAACCCAGAAATTAAAAAATTTTTCTTTTAAACTTGATGTATGACAGTTATTTTTTTCTGAACTAATTGTATTTTCCCCCATTCAGTCTTGAGGGATAGAGTAGGATTTGGAGTTTTAGCATTGCACTACCATTTCTTTCTGTTTTAGCATTGCACTACCATTTCTTTCTGTGAGTCATTGTGGTTCAAGAAAAGAAAGGATAATGAAAATACTAAATGTTGCATATATCCTCTCATTTTGCAACTGTCCTATAATACAGGTAGTGTTCATATTTTGTTATTTTTATTAGGCTTTCACTGCTAAAGAAAAAATAGGCTCTGGAAAGTTAGGTAGTTTGCCTGAGATGATAACTTACGTGTGTCAAAGTTGGCCTTCACAAAATTGAACTCAGATTTTATTTTTTCTTTTCTTTTCCTTTCTTTTTTTTTTTTTTTTTGTTTTGTTTTGTTGAGACGGAGTCTTGCTGTGTCACCCAGTCTGGAGTGTAGTGACGTGATCTTGGCTAACTGCAACCTCCGCCTCCTGGGTTCAAGGAATTCTCCTGCCTCAGCCTCCTGAATAGCTGGGATTACAGATGTGCGCCACTATGCCCAGCTAATTATTGTGTTTTTAGTAGAGACAGGGTTTCACCATGTTGGCCAGGCTGGTCTCGATCTCCTGACCTCGTGATCCACCCACCTCAACCTCCCAAAGTGCTAGGGTTATAGGTGTGAGCCATTGTGCCCAGCAGATTTTCTTTTTTTGGAGACAGAGTCTCGCTCTCTCACCCAGGCTGGAGTGCAGTGGTGCGATCTCTGCTCACTGCAACCTCCAGCTCCCAGGTTCAAGTGATTCTCCTGCCTCAACCTCTGGAGTAGCTGGGATTATAGTTGCTCACCTCCACGCCCGGCTAATTTTTGTATTTTTAGTAGAGACGGGGTTTTGCCATGTTGACCAGACTGTTGAACTCCCGACCTCAGGTGATCCATCCGCCTCAGCCTCCCAAAGTTCTGGGATTACCGGCGGGAGCCACCACGCCCAGTGAAGTGTGTGTCTTATGCAAAATTTTGTTAAAGTATTAGAAAGAGGAAATGAAGTAAGTTTCAAGCTTGGTAGGCATGCATCTATTTGTATTATTACCATTTATAGTTATATAAATAAATTTTTAAATTTCATTTTATTTTTATTTTTTGGAGGCAGAGCCTCACTGTGTTACCTAGGCTGGTCTCCAACTCCTGCTCTCTAGCAATGCTCCTGCCTCAGCTTTCCCGGTAGTTGGGACTACAGGCATGTACTGCCATACCTAACATTTATATTTTTATAATTATATTTTAGAGATGCTTGGAGCAAATTTGGTGTTTAATACATTGTCTCATTAAACTGAAGAATTTCCGCATTCTAGTGTGGGTCTAGAGCTTGACTATATCTAATATTTGACCTTTGGATTTACACTTTTGCACTGGAAAGTCACTGAGTGGTTCTAAGCAGAGATGTATCATAATCTAATGAGTGTTTTTATTTTTAGTTTTTTTTCTTTTAGCTTCTGATTCTCTGGTTGAAAAAAAAAATTAAATATATTTTTTAGAGAGGGAGTCCTACTGTGTTGCCCAGATTGGTCTTGAACTCCTAGGTTCAGGCAGTCCTCCTACCTCGGCCTCCCAAAGTGCTGGGATTACAGGCAAGAGCCACTGTGCTGGGTCTATTTTTTACTTTTATTTTTCTAGACAGGGTTTTGCTCTATCACCCAGGCTGGAAAGAAGTGGCATGATCTCGGTTCACTGTATCCTCGACTTCCTGGGCTCAAGTGATCTTCCCACCTCAGCCTCCTGAGTAGCTGGGGTTACAAGCATGCACCACCACACTTGGTTAATTTTTGTATTTTTTGTAGAGACAGTTTCGCCGTGTTGCCCAGATTGGCCTGGGCTCAAGCAGTCCGCCTGTCTCGGCCTCCCAAAGTGCTGGGATTATACGTGTGGGCCACTGTGCCCAGCTCTGTGATGAGTGTTTTTAAAGTGATCCTTTAGGAGAGGGTGTGTGTTAGAGTTGAGGAACATCAGTTTAATTCTAATTAAACACCTGTGGAGAGACCTACATTTAAATGAGAATGCGTGTACTTTACAATGAAAAATACCTGTTATTTGAATTGGGTATTCGGGTTGACTGGTAGATTCTTATTTTATTTCAAGATCCTCAATACTTTTTGACAGCTCCTCAGATGATAATAATAATGCAGCCAGGGGTTGAGAACTACTGGTTTATCTTAGGGAAAGAGGGAGGGATTGGGGTGAGGGGTTAAAACTTGAGAGGAGGTAGAGTGAAAAGCTTTGCAGAGTTTGGAAAGTGTCACCATCGTTTATGTAGTTTTTTTTGAATTCCTCTTTCATATTCATATGTTCAAATGCCTAGATGTTTTTGATGATGTGAATTTAATAACGTTAAAGTTCCCACTTATCTAGCCTCTTTTTTTCCAGTCTGTTTCTTTTCATAAGAAGTGAAGGAGAATAATGGACGGGGGTGACTCCTAATTTGATAAAAATTTGCTAGCATTAACAGAAGATTTAAAAATCCCCCCGCTGTGTTTTTTCTTTTCTTTTTTCTTAAGGAGAGGGGCCTCATTCTGTTGCCCAGGCTGGAGTAGAGTGGCACGATCATTGCTTACTCAGTCTTGAACTCCTTGGTCTTAAGCTATCCTTTGGCTTCAGCCTCCCTAGTCCCTAGCTGGGACTACAGGCTGCACCATCACACCTGACTTAATTTTTAAACATTTTTTTAGAGATGGCGGTCGGGGGGTCTCACTATGTTGCCCAGGCTGGTCTCGAATTCCTGGCCTGATGCAGTCCTCCTGCCTCTGGCCTCCCGAGTAGCTGAAATTACCAGTGTGAGCCACCACACTCAGCTTTCCGCCTCTTTTTTTTTTTTTTTTTTCCTCAGAGATGGAGGTCTTGCTCTGTTGCCCAAGTGGTAGTGCTGTGTCTATTCACAGGTGTGATCATAGTGCACTACAACCTCAAGGGATCCTCCCACCTCATCCTCTTGAGTAGCTGGAACTAGAGGTGCCCAGCTCTCTTAAAAACTATTAAAACCACCTTGAAGCCTAGTTTCAGTTGATCCATTAAAAAATTTATGTATATATATACACATACACATTCGCTGTGTGTGCTTGTGTCTGTATCTCTGTATCTCTGTATGTGCGTAAGCATTCAGAAATTTGAGCAAACCAGCCATACTAATGTCTAGCTACTTAACTGCTTAACCAGAATTCTGGACTAAAATTGATTACTGATACTTCCTATAATTGGGTAGAAAAACATGTAGCTTTGCTTTTCTTTCTTTTTTTTTTTGAAACGTAGTCTCACTCTGCCGCCCAGACTAGAGTGCAGTGGCACAATCTTGGCTCACCGCACCCTCCGCCTCCCGAGTTCAAGCGATTCTCCTCCTCAGCCTCCCGAGTAGCTGGGATTACAGGGACCCGCCACCAAGCCTGGCTAATTTTTTTGCATTTTTAATAGAGATGGGGTTTCGCCATGTTGGCCAGGCTGGTCTCCAACTCCTGACCTCAGGTGATCCGCCTGCCTCTGCCTCCCAAAATGCTGGGATTACAGGCATGAGCCACTGTGCCTGGCTGAACATGTAGCTTTTTTTTCTTGTTCCAGAATTTTTATGTTTTATTGATATCAAATTGTATCTTTATATTTCTTTTAAGAAGGAAACAAATTTATTTTATTAGAATGAGAGACTTAGAATAGGAGTGAAAGGAATAAAATAACTAAAACTTATCATGGAAGTTTTTTTTTGTTTTTTTAGATTACAGTTTATAATCCTGAGTCATTAATTTATTGAGAAGAGGTGTTAGTTACAGCTTAAAAACTTTTTCTTTTTGTGAGTTAACTAGAGACAGCAGAGAAAGTTTGTAGGAGTTTTGAATGGAGAGCACAGTAGTTACAGCAATTATATTGCTGGGATTTAAGCCAATACAGTTTAGGTCTAATGTTTGGTGAATGACCCTGTTGAATGTCATGCCTTAAATATTAAACTCCTTTTTTTTTCTTTTCTATTCATAGTGGTAGTCGCTCTTCTAAAACTTTTAAACCAAAGAAGAACATTCCAGAGGGTTCTCACCAGTATGAGCTCTTAAAACATGCAGAAGCCACACTTGGCAGTGGCAACCTTCGGATGGCTGTCATGCTTCCTGAGGGGGAAGATCTAAATGAATGGGTTGCAGTTAACAGTAAGTAGCCTTTCTATTTCTCAGTAGACTGAATTAGGATAATAGCCTCATTGTTGATGAGTGTTGGTGCTATCTCTTCTAGGATTTAGTTAGCAAGCTAACACCATAAAAGAGTGATAATCTAACTTTAACCTTCATGTTACTTTATTATTATTTTTTGAGACAGGGTCTCACTCAGTCACCCAGGCTGGAAGGCTGGAGTACAGTGGCACAGTTATGGCTCACTGCAGCCTTGACCACCCGGGCTCAAGCAATCCTCCCACCCTTAGCCTCTAGCATAGCTAGGACTGTAGGCACATACCATCATGCCTAGCTCATTTACAAACATGTTTTAGTAGAGATGGGGCTCTCACTATGTTGTCCAGGATGGTCTTAAACTCCTGACCTCAAGTGATCCTTCTATCTCAGCCTTTCATGGTGCTAGGATTACAGGCACTAGTCACCACATCCAGTCTTGTTATTTTATTTCTGAATATGGAATTTTATGAAACCTTGTTTCCTATTTTAATATAAAGCATAGATTTACTATCTTCATTACAATAATAATTTTTCATTTATCAAACACTGTATAGACACGTCACTCTCCTTTCTACATGGATGATTTTATCTTTATAACCTTACGATGTAGGTATGATTATTATTTTGGTTTAATAGATTAAGTTGAGATAATTAGTAAATTGCCTAGGTCATATAGCTATTAAATGGCAGAGCCTGGGCTCAAATATACAGCTATAGAATTTCAGAGTCTATGGAGTCAACCACTATGGTAAATTGCCTTTTTCAGTGGCACACTCAGTTATTTGTCTAATTGTGCTTTTTTTAATTTTTATTTTGAGATGGAGTCTTGCTCTGTCGCCTAGGCTGGAGTGCAGTGACACGATCTCGGCTCACTGCAACCTCTGCCTCCTGGGTTCAAGTGATTCTTCTGCCTCAGCCTCCTGAGTAGCTGGGATTATAGGCATGCACCACCATGTCCGGCTAATTTTTATATTTCTAGTAGAGATGGGGTTTTACCATGTTGGTCAGGCTGGTCTCGAACTCTTGACCTTGTGATCCACCCGCTTCGACCTCCCAAAGTGCTGGGATTACAGGTGTGAGCCACCACGCCCGGCCAATTGTGCTTATTTTTTAAAAAAAGACATCAAGTAGTGATCTTATGAAATTAGTAAAATATATTTATGAGATGTTCTTAACTCCTACAGAGAATAACATATGAATAGTAATTATATTCTTGAGAATTAAGCCAGAGGAAGTTGAGGAATAAAAGGTTCAGGGTTTTTCAACATTAATGGAAAAAAAAAAAATTAGAATTTTATAATTGAAGGAAATTGATTTGAATTTAGTAAAAATAAAATGAAATTTAATTGAAAGCATACGCAAAATATCTAGGCTTTAAGAAAATGCAAAACAGTATTTTTCTTATATTTGATGGCCTCTTATTATAATTTGAACTATGTCATGGAATTTATAAATTGAGTGGCCCCTCCTCTAATACCTTTTAGGAACCAGGAGATTTTATTATGATGTCTTAAAACTTACTGTGACAGCATTTACACAAGAGCCATGTTATTATTATGTGCTTATCCTCCTGGACCAAGAGAGTCTAGTTATTTGAAATAAAGTGATTTATTTGCTTTATTGATGAGGCCTGTCGTATTTCCAAGATGGTTCTGTGTCATCTCCAAGACAATATTCAGAACAAATCTCCAATATATGTGTATGTTCTTTTTGTACGAATTTGTGCCTTTTTGTAAAATTTGAGAGTTCATTTACTCATGTTTAAAATGTAAGGATGGCTGTATAGAGCTTCTGTAGTACAGTAGATTCCGACTTGAAATATAAAAGCAAATAATCATTTTCTGTCTGTATTCTGTCTCTTTCTCAGTTGCCACAACTGAGTGTCTGTACCTCCCTTATCTGCTAGGGATACATTCCAAGATGACCAGTGGATTCCTGAAACCGGTGATAGGACTGAACCTTATATACACTGTGTTTTTTCCTGTACACCACATACCTATGATAAAGCTTAATTCATAAAGCTTAATTTAAAATTTATTAAAGATTAATTTAAAATTAAGCACAACAGGAGGTTAACAACTATTAATAAAATAGAACAGTTACAATTATACTGTAGTAAAAATTATGTGAATATGGTCTCTCTCTTTCAAAATAATCTTATTGTGCTTTACTTAACCCTTCTTGTAATCCTTCACTCTGATAACCAAGGTGGCTACTATAAGTGATTAATGGGCACGTATACAGCTAGACAGAGGGATGATTCGCATCCCAAGTGGACGGAGTGAGATGGTGTGAAATTTCATCACGTTACTCAGAATGGCACACAATTTAAAACTTACATATTGTTTATTTCTGAAAATTTCCATTTAATATTTTCAGCCCGTGGTTGATCACAGGTAACTGAAACCATGGATAGTGAAACCACAGATAAAGGGGGACTACTGTACTACTGAAACACCTAGAACTTTGAGAACTTTTAAAATTTCACAGTAATTCTATGATTTTACTACAGCTGGACACAGATTGCTCTGGACTGTAGCATTAGAACATCTGCTTAGGATATACTCTGCTTTGAAAATACAGCATTTAACTGAAGTGTTGGACTGTAAAATTTTCCTTATTTATAGTAATCTTCCCAAATGACACTTGATGAAGTAGGTGAATAGGGTTGGAGTCAGGACAGATACTTCCACTCACTGGCAGTGATTCAGTAAACATTTCAGGTTCATAAAAGAGTAAAGGGAATTATTGAAAAGATTTATAGCCAAATGATAGGTGAAAGTATAATTACTTAGCTAATACAGGAGAAAAACAGAATAATAAAAAATAATCCTAAAGAATATAAGGAGAGACTGGGTGCATTGGCTCACGCTGTAATCCCAGCATTTTGGGAGGCCGAGGTGGGAAGATTACTTGAGGCCAGGAGTTTGAGACTAGCCTGGGCAAGACCTGTCTCTATAAAAATATAAAATAAAATAAATTAGCTGCGAGTGGTGGTTCACATCTGTAATCCTAGCTATTCCAGAGGCTGAGGTGGGAGGATGGCTCGAGCCCAGGAGTTCGAGGTTAGCCTGGGCAGCATAGGGAGACCTCTTCTCTAAACTAATAAAATAAAAATTTACCCACCAAGGACTCTTGCATTCATAACTGTAGTTGAGATCTCTCCCCAGGCTTCACGAATTAGTCAGAACTCTACCTGATAACACTATTTTGATGTCTAAATGTGATTTCAAAGTGAACATGTTCAAAAAGGAACACAGAAAAATATAATTGAAGTTATGAAAGTTACCAGTGGTCCATATAAATAGAATCAACTGATCTTGACAAAGAAGAAAAGGCAATTCAGCGGAGAAAGGATTATTTTTTCAATAAATGGCAGTGAACACTGGGACATCCAGATGTAGAAACATAAATCTAGACACAGATTTACACCTTTCAGAAAAATTAACATGAATTAAATGATAGACCTAAAAATACAACACAATACTATAAAACTTGGAGGAAAAAAAAACAACACAGGAGAAAAATCTATGTGACCTTGGATTTGGTGATGAGTTTCTACATACAAAACCAAAAGTGTGCTTTTAAAAGAAAAAATAAATTAGACCTCATGAAAATTTAAGAGGCCAGGCACAGTGGCTCACGTCTCTAATCCCAGCATTTTGGGAGGAGGCCACGTGGGCGGATCACTTGAGCTCAGGAGTTCAAGACCATCCTGGCCAACATGATGAAACCCCATCTCTACTAAAAATACAAAAAAAAAATTAGCCAGGCATGGTGGTGCATCCCTGTAGTTCCAGCTACTTGGCAGGCTGAGGCATGAAAAAATCCGTGGTCATAATGGGAGATTTTAACAATCCTCTTTCAGTAACAGATCGAAAATGCAGAAGAAAAAATCAGTAAGGAGTTAGAAAAATTTGAGCACCATGATTAACAAACTTGACCTAGAAGCACATGACCTAAGCATCTAAGAGTATATATATGTACAATTTCAAAAATGGAAACCAATACATTTTCTGACCATGGTAGAATCTCACTAGAAAGCAGTAGTAAACAGAAATCTCTATATATTTGGAAAAAGCAAATCTCAATGAAAATTAGAAAATATTTTGAACTGAAATTTGGTGATGAAAATACTATATATGGAAACTTGCGGGATATATTATAGCTAAAGCTGTGTTAGAGGAAATTTAGAGCCTTACATAAACACATATATTAGAAAAGAAAAGGCTGGGC